GAGAGAGAGAGAGAGAGAGAGAGAGAGAGAGATGTCTTACTATCATTTTCTATTTTCTTCATATTCCTTTTTGAGACAGATCTCACTCTGTCACCCAGGTTGGAGTGCAGTGGTGTGATCTCAGCTTACCACAACCTTCTCCTCCTGGGTTCAATCAGTTCTCCTGCCTCAGCCTCCCAAGTAGCTGAGACTACAGGTGCCCACCACCATGGCTGGCTAATTTTTGTATTTTTAATAGAGACAGGGTTTTGCCATGTTGGCCAGGCTGGTCTTAAACTCCAGATCTCAAGTGATCCACCCGCCTTGGCTTCCCAAAGTGCTAGGATTATAGGCATGAGCTACCGCACCTGGCCTAGATTCTTCATATTTCTTATGCTTAGGGTTCATTGATCATGGATCTGCAAAAATTTAATGTATAAGGTTTATAACATCTGTGAAAGTAAAATGTGTGACAGTAGCACAAAGGCCAAGAAGAGAGAAGCAGAAGTATATTGTTTGATTCTTAGACTATATATGAATTGTTATAATATCATTTGAAGGGACACTATGATAAGTTAAAGTTGTATACTAATAAAGCCTAGCAATTCCTAGGTTAATACAACAGTTATAACCGATAACTCAAAAAGGAGATAAAATGGAATTATAAAAAAATTCCTGGCAGGTATGGTGGCTCTAACCTGTAGTCCCAGCTACCCTGGAGACTGATACAGAGAGAGGATTGCTTGAGCCCAGGAATTTGATGCTGCAGTGAGCTATGATCACATCATTGCACTCCAGTCTGAGCAACAGAGACCCTGCATCTTTTTTAAAAAGGTGGGGGGTTGGCTGGGCGCAGTGGCTCATGCCTGTAATCCCAGCACTTTGGGAAGCCAAGGCAGGCAGATCACCTGAGGTTGGGAATTTGAGACCAGCCTGACCAACATGGAGAAACCCCTTCTCTACTAAAAATACAAACTTAGCCAGGTATGGTGTCACATGCCTGTAATTCCAGCTACTCAGGACGCTGAGGCAGGAGAATCGCTTGAACCTGGGAGGTGGAGGTTGTGGTGAGCCAAAATCGCACCATTGCACTCTAGCCTGGGCAACTAGCAAAACGCTGTCTCAAAAAAAAGGGGTGGGGGGCAGGGGTAGAGAGAGAAAACACATTTTAAAACTTAAAAAACAATTTCTAATTCAAAAATAGAAAAGAGGAAAAAGGAAACAAAGAATACAAGCAATAAATGGAAAAGAGATAACAAGATGATGGATTCAAACCCAACTATAGCTATATTCATATTACATGTAAATGATTTAAACAACTGCATATAAGACAACCGCACATCTTGGCTCTTCAAACACTTCCCTCTTGTAATGAGTTTGCATCTTAAAAATCTTGCCCTAAACAGTGAGTCAGCCTTAGTTCATGTGTTAATGCCTTCTGAGGTTTGTGAGGGAGACTTCATTTATGGGTATAAAGCCTCCCTTTTTTCTGTGATCACTTTCCATAATGCCCCAGTGCCCACTGGGTAGGAATTTTAATCCTCACACTTAATACCATGTGTTTATCCCACAAGAAAGAGGATGAAAACAAAGAAAGATAAAGGAAAGTCCACATTCTGGTCTCTTTGGCCTTGGTTCAGGAGACAAGAAAGGTTAAGCAGTGGTTCTTAATGGGGTAATTTTGAATGGGAAGTTCAGAGATAGAAACCATTTCAGGGGCCTGCCTTCCTTTGTTTAAGAGAATAGGCTTGGAGACAAGTTTCCTTCTCAATCTGAGTATACTCAAATACTTCGTAGAAAATATTCTCTTGTATATACTTCTAGCACGTATCACATTGTATTACAGTTTGCTGGTTTTCATGTCTGTCTCCCACACTGTAAATATGATAAACTTGAGGATAGGTATTATCTGGATATTCATCTTGGTACCCCCAGAACTGAGAACTTAAAACAGTGTTAACCTGTGGTGCCACTCAAATCTATGATCATGTGAACCAGATGAATAAATAAACTGTTCCAATGTTATATCTGTGGCTCACACTTATTAAACCCAGAATAAATTTCCGGGGATCCTAGTGGATCTATATCTGGTGCCTCACACCTGTCTTCAATGTGGAAAAGGCGTAATATGTAACTGCATAGAACATTTATTTATGGGAGTGTAAACGAGGTCAGTGTTATGTTTGTTTTATACAAGTGAATACATAGTCATAAGATACTAAAATTTGGCAATTTTCTTTAGCAACTATACATATTTCTATATGGACCTTTGGGTCTGCCTCTGATATTGTCAACTTGGGAGCAGCCAATGACTACTTTCTTCAAAGATACCTCTTCTTTAATTGACTGGAAAAAATACCATTTGTGTATGGTACCCAATTTGGATCTCAATTTGGATAGAGGTATATCTTCCATCTCTCTGCACAGGAGTGAAGAAACTTGAAGAATATTAGAGAAATGAAAGGAAATATGAATAGAAAGTATACATAATTTTTTATTTTATTTTATTTTTTGAGATGGAGTCTCACTTTCTTGCCAGGCTGGAGTGCAGTGGCATGATCTTGGCTCACTGCAACCTCCAACTCCCTGGTTCAAGCAATTCTCCTCTCTCAGCCTCCCGAGTAGCTGGGATTACAGGCACACACCACCATGCCCAGCTAATTTTTGTATTTTTAGTAGAGATGGGGTTTCACCGTGTTAGGCAGGATAGTTTCAATCTCCTGACCTCGTGATCCCCCCACCTCAGCCTCCCAAAGTGCTGGGATTACAGGCATGAGCCACCATGCCTGGCAAAAGTATATATAAAAATATGATCCAGAGAGGCCGGGTGCGGTGGCTCAGGCCTGTAATCTCAGCACTTTGGGAGGCCGACGCAGGCAGATCACGAGGTCAGGAGATCGAGACCAGCCTGACCAACATAGTGAAACCCCGTCTCTACTAAAAATACAAAAATTAGCTGGGTGTGGTGGCATGCGCCTGTAGTCTCAGTTACTCGGGAGGCTGACACAGGAGAATTGCTTGAACCCAGGAGGCAGAGATTGCAGTGAGCCGAGATGTTGCCACTGCACTCCAGCCTGGGTGACAGAGTGAGAAAAAATAAAATTTAAAAAAATCTGAAAAAAATAAAATAAAAAAAAATATGACCCAGAGATCTGATGGCCTAGTTTGGGGTTTGGGGGTCAGGGTCTGGCCAAGCGTGAGAGACCACTTGAAGTGAGGCAAATAGGTGTCAAACCAGGCAAAGCTCTTTCAGAGCTTGTTTTGGTGTTGCATGTTTTTGTTGTTGTGGTGGTGGTGGTTGTTGTTTTATGGAGTCTTGCTCTGTCACCCAGGCTGGAGTGCAGTGGTGCAATCTCAGCTGGCTGCAACCTCCTCCTCCTGGTTTCAAGTGATCTTCCTGCCTCAGCCTTCCTAGTAGCTGGGATTATAGGTGCCCGCCACCATGCTTGGCTAATTTTTTTTTTTTTTTTTTTGTATTTTTCTTAGAGACGGGATTTCCCCATGTTAGGGCCAGGCTGGTCTTGAACTTCTGACCTCAAATGGTCCACCTGCCTTGGCCTTCCAAAGTGCTGGGATTATAGGCGTGAGCCACCACGCCTGGCCTGACATTGCATGTTGATACTAGTTCTCCTCTTACTTCCTCTGCTGCCTCCTCTATTCTTGGTCTTTCTGTTAGATACTTGTTCAGAGGATTTCTAATGTACCTAATCTGTCAACTCTGGGCCTTTACAAAGGTGAGTAAGGGAGCAATGACACCTCTGAACTACTGTGGAAGAGAAATGCTTCATAATGAACTGAGAAAATCCATATAAAATTTCTTAGAAACAATTAAAACACATACAAATGCAAGACATAATACTATTAGGCCTAGGAAGCTGGCTGTAATATTCATGTAAGTTGTAACCACACCAGCTTTGGGTGAATCATGCCAAAAGCTGGAAGGTTAATAACTGAGCTAATAAATAAAACTGGGAAATTGGAATATGCAGCCATGGGTTATATCTAGGAGGGCTGCAGTTTTGAGATTGTTTTAGCTAGAATCCTTTGAAATTTAGAAGGTAGTCTGGTCGTTTGGCTCCTGAGGAAGATGACCAGTAGGGAAGAGGTATTCTGCGGCTGGTATAAGAAGATTGAAGCCTACTGGGATAGGGCAGTATCTTAGAATAATAGACTCTTCACCTATGAAGGAAGGAAGCCTTGGGATAAGATTCTTTGTTCTTGAGTGGGTAGTTATTCCAGAAGAGGGTGTCCTTAGACAGGGTCTCTGTAAATGATAGTTTTATGGGAAAAGAATATTTTGTCTTAACAGACAGAATGTCATGCCATCAGGATTTCGAATAGAGAGATGACTACTGAGTTTCTACGGATCTCCATATCTCCTTTTCTCATTCATTTTTGTTTTCAGGCTTTGCTGATTTAGTTTTTTGCCAATTCATGGTGCCTGAACTTTCTCAGTTAACTTTGGAAATGAATAATGTAGAAAATGTCCCCTCATCTCCCTCCCTGATTACTCTAAAGGACAGAACCAGGATCCACATGGAGGTACTTCTCTATATGGATCTGAAATATAAGACTATCCTGATTTTATTCTAAAGGATCAAGGTGCTAGAAAGTGACCACTAGACATTGGATTACTTGTGGATACAAATATATAGTATTGGGGATAAGAGCACAGATTTTGGAGTCAGTCTAGCAAAATCTAGAACTCAGTTCCCCTACTTATTAGCACCTTACCCATTGGGCAAGGTATTTAACTTATCTGTGCCTCTTATCTTTAAAAGGACATACAAGTAAGGTCCTATCCGATAATGTTATTGTGAAGTCTAAATGTTGAAATAGTACATAAGCATTTGATATAGTACCTGGCCTGTAACGAAAGTTAGCTGTTATCATTACACTCAGGTGAATCTAACCTCTTACCAGCCATACCTGCCTTAGAAAGTTGTACAAGGAATCAGTGAATTTATTGTGTAGTGCTTCTCAGTAAATGTAAAGGAGTGCTGTTTGGTTTGCATTTTACACACCTAGTTACTATTTAATGTTCTTCCTGTGCATCATTATGATTTGCTTCCATCATGTGGACAGATAAACAGGTTCAGGAGGGGAAATGAGTGTTTGAATTTAGATCTCCTATTCTCAGATCATTCTTTGTTCAGAATACAGGTTCTGTAGTCACTTGGCATTTTGAGGGCTTTACGTATCTTAGAAATTCGTGTATTATCTTGTCCTCTAGATTTGTTGCTTCCAGATGTGAGTTATCAGGTGGAATCCAGAGAGGGGGATCAATCTCAGAATATGGACCTTCAAGGACAAACTCTGCTGCTTTTTCTCTTTGTGGATTTCCACAGTGCATTTCCAGTTCAGCAAATGGAAATCTGGGGTAAGTATAAGAGAATGGGGTTGCCAGCTTGAGTATGCCAAATGCTAGGAGAAAGGGAAGATTTGTATAATGCATACATCTAAATTAGATATATTTCTATAGAATAAAGTTCAATGAAAAACCTTGCTTAATAAGTTAAATAAATATATCCTGTAGAAAAGATTCATATATTGATGCATCACTTAAATGACAACATTGCTAGGTCTGGTTGGTCAGACATCAGCAGCCGTTGGTATTGCTCCCTAGGGATCCATGGTTCTCAACGTTAGCCACATAATATATTACCTGGAGAGCATCTAAAATGCTCACTCTCCAGGGATTCTGATTCAGATGGACTGAGGTGGTGCTCAGGTCTCAGTATGTTTTTAAAATTTTTTAATTTTTAGAGTTGCTCTGTCATCCAGGCTGGAGTGCAGTTGCATGAGCGTAGCTCACTGCAACATCAAACTCCTGGGCTCAAGTGGTCCTCCTGCTTTAGCCTCCCTAGTAGCTGGGCCTACAGATGCATGCCACTGCACCTGGATAACTTTTTCAATTATTTTTTGTGGAGATGGAGGTGTTGCTTTGTTGCCCAGGCTGGTCTTGAACTCCTGGCTTCAAGTGATCTTCCTGCCTCAGTGTCCCAAAGTGCTTGTCCATATGTTTTTAAAGCTTCTCAGACCAGGCGTGGTGGCTCACGCCTGTAATCTCAGCACTTTGGAAGTCCAAAGTGGGTGGATCATTTGCAGCCAGAGGTTTAAGACTAGCCTGGCTAACATGGTGAAACCCTGTTTCTATTAAAAATACAAAAATTAGCCGGTGTGGTGGTAGCTGCTTGTAATCCCAGCTATTCGGGAGGCTGAGGCAGGAGTATCACTCAAACCCAGGAGGCAGAGGTTGCAGTGAGCCGAGATCACACCACTGCACTCCAGCCTGGGCAAGACATTGAGACTCTGTCTCAAAAAATAAAATAAAATAAAATAATAAAATTGCTTCTCAGGTGATTCTGATGTACAGCCAGCCTTGGGAACTTTTCATCACCATACTGCCTTTCTAGGTGGATTAAAAAAAATGCACACCTGTCCTTACTCAGGTATGCAATGAGGAACTTTGGTGTTTATTAGATGGGTGATAACTTGTTATCACTCAGAGAGGTTCTCTATGATAAAGATAAAGTAGTGGTTTCATTTTCTGGTCCATGAAACATGCATCAGAATCACCTAGATCATCATCATCATCTTCATTATTGCAGAAACAAGGTATTCTGTGTTGCCCAGGCTGAACTCCTAGGCTCAAGAGATGCTCCCATGTCAGCCTTCCAAAGTGCTGGGATTACAGGCATGAGCCACCATGTGCGGCCTCAAGTGATTCTTAAATAGTGAAATTTGAAAACCACTGAGCATGAGCAGGACTTGGCTTCTGCATTTTAATCCTATAAACCCTGGGACATAAATTTAAGTATTTCTCAATCCCCTCCTAATCTTTGAGGAAAGTTACAAGGAGAAGTGGAGATTATACAAGTTTGGAAAAGGGTTCATAAGCCTCCCTTTTGGTGCTTCTGATGTGTCTCTCTGTTCTCCTTTCTCTATGGCCCAGTGTGTTTTTGTGGGACTGTATGCTCCACGCACTCCAGTGCTATTTGGTGTGGCTCTGCTTCCACTGAGTCATAAGAAAAAAGAGACTGCTTACAACCCCAGACCAAAAGAGATCATGTCGACTAGGTGTCAACTATTTATTGAACAAACCATTGTCGGCTGTGGTATTCTTCCTGCTACCTTCCTTCTGAGCCTCTCAGATGTAAGATAAGGCTTCCTTTTCCTTGCTTCTTCCCAGCACATGCTGTATACACTGTAGGAGAGAACTGTTTTCTTGGGCTCTGGCTTGCAGCTCTTTGAGTAGCTAGTGGTCTTTGATGCCCCGCTGTTCCAGTGATTAAGGCCAGGGGAATGGGAAATAGAAGATGCCCAAACTAATGTGAGGATTCCTAAGGCTGTTCCCTGTAGCCTATGCTCACATAGAGGCTGGTAGGAGCGACAGCTTATTATTGTGGAAAAGATAACAGGGTGGAATCAAGAGACCTGGGTTAAATTTTAGCAGATACCAACTTCTTCAATGATTTTTGGAAAGCATGTCATGTAAATCTGAGCTTCCCTTTTCATATCTTTAACATGAGATTGTTAGGCTAGGCCCCATCAAAGGCCTTTCCAGGTCTAAAACCCTCTTGAGACTGAAGATCTGCTACCTTCTGATGGTTTTTTTTTTTTTTTAAGGTCTGCCAGAGGTAATCCTTGGATAATGCAAGCCTGATACCATGTTCTGAGCCCTACTGAACATTCCTTAAGAACTCAGATTCCTCAGAAACACATTGTTATCATTCTGGATACACTGTGATAATTTGTACACTTCTGTTTAGCTTGATTCTGAAGGCCTGCGGTATTGTAGTCATTGTACTCAGTATTGGATTTAAAAGAAGTTCATCAATGTAGTGGTAAACACAGTGTCTTACATCTTACACATCTGGTAGTTTAGGGTTAGCCTCTGAAGATGATGCACAGTGAGGGGAGGGGAGGTAGATATAGATGTAGTGATAATTTTGCCTTTTCTTCCCCCCTTTTCTTTCTCATATCCTTAAAAGCTTTCTCTAGAGCCTCTTCTTTTAGGAACCCGATTGTTCAAAATTAGTGTGTCTTTAAGAAAAATCCATGTGTCTTTAAGAAAATCACTTAATTGGCCATATGCCCACCTACCTTGTCATGGTAACTTTTTTGTGATTAACTCATTTTTTTTTCTTGTGACTAAGTCATTATTTTCCCCAATGTCAAAAAAATTTGGTGGTCAAAAGTTTTAGGAATGAACTTTGGCTTTTAAATTAAATGTCTGCTTTCAAAAGAGATCTGATTTCTTGAAGCTATTCTTAGAACCAAACTATGGAAAATAGCAATCTAGATGATATATTTACATAGCAATAGCAATATTTTCCTGTTGAATATTGCAGTGTACATTTCAAAACACTTCATAGGCCAGGCACCATGATTTGGCACCTGTAATCCCAGTACTTTGAGGGGCCAGGACTGACTGAGCCATTCAAGACTACTTGGGCAACATAGCGAGACCTCATCTCTACATATAATTTAAAAATTTAGCCAGGTGCGGCGGCTCACACCTGTAATCCCAGCACTTTGGGAGACTGAAGCAAGAGGATCACCTGAGGTCAGGAGTTTGAGACCAGCCTGGTCAACATGGCGAAACTCTGTCTCTACTAAAAATACAAAATTAGCTGGGCGTGGTGGCGGGTGCCTGTAATTCCAGCTACTTGGGAAGCTGAGCCAGGAGAATCACTTGAACCCGGGAGGCAGAGGTTGCAGTGAGCTGAGATCATACCATCGCACTCCAGCTTGGACAATAAGAGCGAAACTCCATCTTTAAAAAAAAAAAAAAAAAAATGGCCAGGCATGGTGGTGATGTACACCTGTGGTCCCAGGTATTCAGGAGGCTGAGGTGGTAGGATCACTTGAGCCCTGGCTGGTGAGGCTGCAGTGAGCCGAGATTGTGTCACTGCCCTCCAGGCTGGACAACAAAAAAGTCCACAAAACACTTCAGGTACATTATGGCAGTTTATCTACACAACATACCTGTGAGAACAGGTGGTATAAAGCCATTTTCTATACTGAAGAAAAGACTTCATCACCACTAGTTGGTGGCAGAGTTGATCCTAGAATCTGTGTTCTCCTTGACTCTAGCTCCAGAATCCTTTTGAGCTTACCACATATTACCTTCCCTACCAGGAAAGCATCATGGTGTGTTGTGGTAGAAAATGTTCTTCTGACTTGCATTTTTAATACAGTCCTGGAAAAAGCCAGCCAGTTTTAGGCTGCTTCACCATAGAATTCCGAACACTGAAAACAAAGAATAATCAAGAAGGATTTTCTCCAGGTGACCTGTAAAGTAAATTTGGCTTCCTATGTCTGATGCATCAGAATCATTAAATGGTGGCCTATTGTTTGATGGCATAATTTTTTTGCCTATGGCTCTCACATGTTAGCTTTTCTGAATGAGGCTGAGCAGTGCTGCCTGTGGTTACTTTAACAGAGATAATCCTGCATTTCAAAATACCTCATACGAACAGTTCTGTGTCATTTTTGTGAATTTTAACCTTTTCTTTACCACAGCACATCTGAAAGCACAACAGTGACGCTCACACAGGCATGGAGGAGGGTTGGACACACTCTATAGGATGTTTGCTTCTCCCTTTCTCCTCCCTTCTGGGAGTCACTAGGATTCTCATTTATAGTATGTGGTATATATTTCTGCTATGAATTAAACAGGATCCCTCACTTGTTTCTTTAAAAGTAATGTCATTCTTCACCTTAATTTTTCTGAGCTTTCTTTTATTTATAAGTGGGAATTGGGTAGGTTTGTTTCTTGAGAGATTTACTCTAAAAAAGATATTTGTAGATATGTAGGGGTCTCTTCTTCCAAGAGGCATCGTTCTCACTCCCAGTCCTGACTCAGAACACATGAACAGCAATCTTGAGGTAGTTATCCTTGCTCATGGTTAATCCTAGAATAATGCAAACCTGATACCATGTTCTGACCCTTATTGAACATTCCTTAAGAATTCAGATTCCTCAGAAATACCGTGTTACCATTCTTGAACTACTGTGTTAATTTGTTCAGCTTGACTCTGAGGGTCTGCAGTATCTCAGTTGTTGTACTCAGTGTTGGATTTAAAAGAAATTCATCAACGTATTAGTAAACAAGTGTCTTAAATCTTACACATCTGGTAATTTAAGACTAGCCTTTGAAGAAGATGCACAGTAAGGGGAAGTAGATATTGTGATAATTTTACCTTCTCCCTCCCCTTAGGAGTCTATGCTTTGCTCACAACTCATCTCAATGCCATCCTTGTGGAGAGCCACAGTGTAGTTCAAGATTCTATCCAGTTTATTGTGGACCAGGTCTTGGAGCAACATCACCAGGCTGCCAAGGTAATAAGGAATTCACAGCCTCCTTTCTCCTATTCTCTAAGGAAAAGACAGCAAGCATATAATAGCAGGCAGGGCCCAGGAGCCCTTGCCCCCTTAATGCCCCTTCCTCTCCTCTTCTGTCACCGGGGGTGATCTTGTAACACTGCATCTAGCCTACAACTCAAACTTTAGCTTAGATGGATCACTGTAACCAGCTTGCTTAGTCTTGCCTCCTAGTAGGTGTGTTTGGGTAAATAGGGAAATAGATAATAGGTAAAAATGGCTGATAGCACACCTCTTCCTTGTCTATATAACCTCTTCCCCTTCCCACCCCACACAGACTTCTGGAGCTGCTGCTTCAATGTATCTTACATTCTTCCCCCATTTTCCTAATTGTTTACACCACCACTTTCTCTTCTTACTTGATTTTCTGAATCCATCCATCCTGCGTACTTTTGGTAACACATTTCTTACCTCATATGGCCCCCTTTTCAGGTAAAAGACAACCACACTAAGAGAGGAGAACTGAAAGTTTTTTTTTTTTTTTTCCAAATAGTATGTTTTCTTGACCAGTGTTCTTATTGCTTGTCTTCTCTAAATGTGTCTGTGCCAATAAGTCATCTCTGTGAAATGAGAGAACATTTAAAATTTTTATTTTAATCCCTAAGTGTTATGATATAAAAATATGTGAAGAGCTCAGTAACTTTTATTGATGGAGAGGAAGAATTGTTGAAATCCTGCTCTGATGGAAATGTGTGGCCCCTCTGGGATTCTCTAAACCACATCTTGGAATTCATGCAAGTCTCCCCCTTACTTGTTATGTTTCCCAGGCTCAGCAGAAACTACAGGCCTCACACTCAGTGGCTGTGAACTCCATCATGAGTATTCTGACTGGAAGCACTAGGAGCAGCTTCCGAAAGATGTGTCTCCAGACCCTTCAAGTTAGTAGGAGATTGGGATGAGGGATGCTTAAAAGTGCCAGGGTTTTGGCTGGGTACGGTGGCTCATGCCTGTAATCACAGCACTTTCGGAGGCCAAGGTGGGAGGATCGCTTGAGCCCAGGAGTTTGACACCAGCCTGGGCAACATAGAGAGATCCTGTCTCTACAAATAATTAAAAAATCAGGAGCCAGGTGGTGACTCACACCTGTAATCCCAGCACTTTGGGAGGCTGAGGTGGGCGGGTCACCTGAGGTCGGGGGTTCTAGACCAGCCTGACCAACATGGAGAAACCACATCTCTACTAAAAATACAAAATTAGCCAGGTGTCATGGCGCAACCTGTAATCCCAGCTATGCAGGAGGCTGAGGCAGGAGAATCGTTTGACCCAGGGAGGTGGAGGTTGTGGTGAGCCAAGATCACACCACTGCACTCCAGACTGGGCAACAAGAGCAAAACTTAATCTAAAAAAAAAAAAATCAGCCAGGTGTGGTGTGAACCTAGGATGTTGTGCCTGAGCCATGATCACATTAATGTACTCCAGCCTGGGCAACAGAGTGAGACCTGTCTTTAAAAAAAAAAAAAAAAATGCTGGGCACAGTGGCTCACACCTGTAATCTCAGCACTTTGGGAGGCCGAGGCAGGCGGATCACAGGGTCAAGAGATCAAGACCATCGCCAACATGGTGAAACCCCGTCTCTACTAAAAATACAAAAAAAGTAGCTGGGCGTGGTGGCACATGCCTGTAATCCCAGCTACTCGGGAGGCTGAGGCATGAGAATCACTTGAACCCAGGAGGCTGAGGTTGCAGTGAGCCAAGATCGTGCCACTGCAGTCCAGCCTGGGTGACAGAGTGAGATTCTGTCTGGGGAAAAAAAAAAAAAAAAAAAGACTGCGGGCAGTGGCTCATGACTGTAATCCCATCACTTTGGGAGGTCAGGAGTTTGAGACCAGCCTGGCCAACATGGTAAAACCCTGTCTCTACTAAAAATACAAAAATCAGCTGGCTTTGGTGGCAGGTGCCTGTAATCTTAGCTACTTGGGAGGCTGAGGCAGGAGAAATGCTGGAACCTGGGAGGCAGAGGTTGCAGTGAGCCTAGATCATGCCATTGCACTTCAGCCCAGGCGACAACAGTGAAACTCTGTCGCAAAAAAAAAAAAAAAAGGCACCAGGGTTTTAATGACATTCTACTGTTTATCTTTTTAATATGTACAGTGTTTTTAGAGACATTATTTTATATGCTCCAATGTGATACTACATAGTACCAGGCCTAAGTTTTAAGAAATATTCATTGAATAGTAGTATGTTTACTGTTTTACAAATGAGAAAACAAGTTATTTAAGATTTCTGCTTTCTTTTGTTTTTTTGAGACCAAGTTTTGCTCTTGTTGTCCAGGCTGGAGTGCAGTGAATCTCAGCTCACTGCAACCTCTGCCTCCCGGGTTTAAGTGATTAGTGATTCTCCTGCCCCAGCCTCCCATGTAGCTGGGATTACAGGCATGTGCCACCACACCCGGCTAATATCTTGTATTTTTAGTAGAGATGGTATTTCTGCATGTTGGTCAGGCTCGTCTTGAACACCTGACCTCAGGTGATCTGCCCACCTCCCAAAGTGCTGGGATTATAGGTGTAAGCCAACGTGCCCAGCTGATTTCTGCTTTCTTTTGGTCACACAGTTAAGAACAGAGCTAGGGCTGGGTGCGGTGGTTCATGCCTGTAATCCCAGCACTTTGGGCTGAAGCAGATGGATTGCTTGAGGTCAGTTCATGACCAGCCTGACCAACATAGTGAAACCCTATCTCTACTAAAAATACTAAATTAGCTGGGCATGGTAGTGCATGCCTGTAGTCCCAGCTGCTTGGAAGGCTGAGGCAGGAGAATTGCTGACAACCGGAAGGTGGAGGTTGTAGTGAGCCAACATCGAGCCACTGCACTCCAGCTTGGGTGACAAAGTGTGACTCCACCTTGGAAAAAAAAAAAAACAGAGCTAGGACTAGATCAGTGATTCCTTATTCCTTGTTGAAGAATGCTATCTCATGGTGACAGAGTACACTGTAGATAATTGAGCAACCTTAATTATTACATGTATGTGGTATCAGAGGCTCAGGTTCAAATCCTGACTCATTTACATACTAGTTGTGTTTAGGCCTAAACACAATTTGAGACTTGTCTACAAATTGGAAAAAATAATAATACCTCACAGTTATTATGAAGGTGAGAGCTAAAGTATGCTATGGTCTGAATGTTTATATGTCCCCAAAATTCCTATGTTGAAATCCTAACCCCCAAACTGATAAAATTAGGAGGTATGAGGCCTTTGAGAGGTGATTTGGGTCATTAGGCCCTTATGAATGGAATTAATGCCTTTTGCAGAGGCCCTGGGTTGGGTGTGGTGGCTCATGCCTGTAATCCTGGCACTTTGTGAGGCTGAGGCAGGTGGATCACCTGAGGTCAGGAGTTTGAGACCAGCCTGACCAACATGGTGAAACTCCATCTCTACTTAAAAAAAAGACAAAAAAATTAGCCATGCGAGGTGGCAGGTGCCTGTAATCCCAGCTACTCAGGAGGCTGAGGCAGGAGAATCACTTAAACCCGGGAGGCAGAGGTTGCAGTGAGCTGAGATCGTGCTGTTGCACTCCAGCCTGGGCAACAAGAATGAAACTCTATCTCTAAGGGGAAAAAAAGGTCCCAGAGAGAGCCTCACCCCTTCTGCCATGTGAGGACAGAGAGAGGAAGTGGGCAGCCTATAGCCCAGAAGAGGGCCCTCACCAGAACTTTACCATGCTGGCACTTTAATTTCAGATTTCCAGTCTCCAGGACTGTGAGAAATAAGTTTCTATTGTTTATAAGCCACCCAGTCTAGAGTAATTTGGTATAGCAGCCCAAATGGACTAAGACAATGTCAAAGTGCATAGCATGTGGTAGATTCTCAATAAATGTTAGTTTTTTTCCCTTCCTTTAGGAATGTGTGCTGACCAATTGATATTATCAGTGGGCAACATATCACTCCATATTTATTGCTTCATTTTTTTGGTACAGTTTTCTTGAAAAGCTAGTATAACACAAAAAATATTTTAAAATAACAAAATTTATCACTATAATTTTTAATTTTTGCTTATCTCATATATACATGTAACCAAAGCATTCTATGTTTATATATAATTTGAGATTTTCCCCATTTCAACAGTCTTAGACTTTTTAGTTAACTAATATCCCACTGTATTGTTTAAAACCAATTTAATAAGCCATTCCTCTGTTAGACATTTGTTTACATTCTTGCTATATAGTATTTCAGTTAATACTTTTATGTAATATCTTGTTTCTTTTGAAGTATCTTCTAGAACAAATTTCTACAGAAGTTATGAGTCAAAGTGTATAACATGTTTATAAGCTAGTGCATTTTATCACAGCTTCAACTTTCTGGGTCATGTGGATAGCACAGGGTAGTGAGAAGAACACTAAGTTGGGAATTGTAAGGTATGCATTAAAGCCCTAACTTTGTACTAACTAGCTGTGAGTTCTTGGGTGGGTCACTTCTCCTTTTTGAATTTCAATTTTCTCATCCTTAAAACTAGTGTGTTGTATTAGGCGATTACTCTGGTCCCCTTTAATTCTAACATCCTACAATTCTATATTTAAAAGTAGAAAGCTGTTACCTATTTCCTGTGGGTGAAAATTTATTGTTTCTTCCTCTCCTCCCTAAAAGACTCATCAGAACAAAAGGTCTCATATCAGCTTCAGTTACGCAGTAGAACCTGTGCTGTCTTGGAAACTCTTCTTATAGAAAAGAAGTTTATATAACCCCTTCATGAGCAGATGGATCTCTTGGATATTTTCTCCTATAGAGATGGGAGAAAAGGCTGGGGGCGGTGGCTCACGCCTGTAATCCCAGCACATTGGGAGGCCAAGGCGGGTGGATCACGAGGTCAAGAGATCGAGACCATCCTGGTCAAAATGGTGAAACCCCGTCTCTACTAAAAATACAAAAAATTAGCTGGGCATGGTGTTGCGTGCCTGTAATCCCAGCTACTCAGGAGGCTGAGGCAGGAGAATTGCCTGAACCCAGGAGGCGGAGGTTGCGGTGAGCCGAGATTGCGCCATTGCACTCCAGCCTGGGTAACGAGCGAAACTCCGACTCAAAAGGGGTGGGGGTGGGAGAACAAAGGCCTTCTTTGAAGGATCTTGCTTAGGTGACAGAAGTGGGAAGACATGTAGGAGCCACAACTACCTGTCATACCAATTATCTCAGGCCTTCTTTTTTCCTCTCTTGCCTTTATGAAGACTAAGAAAACTCCTAACTTTAATGGCTTGCCCATTATCTGCCTCATCGTCTCCCTGTATAAACTTTCTGTGAGAGCTTCCCCCCTTGGTTTCCAGTACCGGAACTCAGCATGTTCTATTTCTGGCCCATTTTAGGCAGGTGACACCCAAGAGTTTGGGACCAAACTGCACAAACTATTTTGTGAGATCACTCAGCACCAATTTCTTCACCACTGCTCATGTGAGGTGAAGCAGGTCAGTGTAAATAATCAGTACTTTGGTGGGAATTTTCCATTTTGATATATGGGAATCCTGAATTGGAGGGGGGGTAGGTACAAGTATTTCAGACTGCATAATCTGAGGTTAGCCTTTCAGCAAGGAAGCCTGTGAAACAAAATCATCTGTCTTCTGTCTTTCAGGAATGACTATCCTATTTGTTGCCTGGTGTCCGATGTTTTGAAAGCCATTGTTTCATATGTTGTATCCAGGATTTTTGTTATTTTGGGTATGAGGGTAGATTCAGTCCCTGTTACTCCATCTTGTCCAGAAGACACTGTAGAATATTTTCTTTTCTGTTTTTTTTTTTCTTCTTGAGATGGAGTCTCATTCTGTTGCCCAGGCTAGAGTGTAATGGCTTGATCTCAGCTCACTGCAACCTCCACCTCCTGGGTTCAGCGATTCTCCGGCCTCAGCCTCCTGAGTATCTGGGACTACAGGCGCCAACCACCACACCCGGCTAATTTTTTTATTTTTAGCAGAGACAGGGTTTCACCATGTTGGCCATGATGGTCTCGATCTCTTGACCTCGTGATCCACCTCCCTCAGCCTCCCAAAGTGCTGGGATTACAGGTGTGAACCACCGTGCCCAGCCTACTGTAGGATATTTTCATCTTTAATCTTTCTTATTTATTCATCCTATATTTTTAGTTCCAGATAAGTCAATCCTACTGATTAGAGCCAACACAGCCAGAAAAGTGGGCTTCAGTTGCACCACTACTAACAGCTATACCTGGAATTTGTAGAGAAACAGAATTTCCTAGCTATAATCTCCCTTCACTCATTAGAGGAGACCATCACAAAACCAGTTAAAAGCTATTAGATCTCCTTCAGGGTAAAGATTCCAACTAATGAAACTCTAGATCTCCAGCATCCAAAAAGGTGAAAAGATAAAAGTGTATATATGTATTTATTTAAAAAAAAATTTTTTTAAGACAGAGTCTTGCTCTATCTTCCAGGCTGGGGTGCAGTGGTGTAATCTCGGCTCACTGCAACCTCTGCCTCTCAGGTTCAAGTGATTCTCCTGCCTCAGCTCCTCGAGTAGCTGCGACTACAGGCATGCTCCACCATGCCTGGCTAATTTTTGTATTTTTAGTAGAGACGGAGTTTCACCAGTTGGCCAGGCTGTTCTCGAACTCCTGACCTCAGGTGATCTGCCTGCCTTGGCTTCCTAAAGTACCAGGATTACAGGCTAAAACCACCATGCCAGCCCATAATTGACTTTTTAAAGCATAAATAATAACACTGTATTATAATGTTTATTACCATGGAGAAATAAAACATATGGCAATAATAGCAAAAGACCAGGAGGAAAGAAATGGAAAAATACTGTTGTAGGGTCTTATACTACATGGGGAGTGATATAATACTAATTGAAGGTAAACTGGTAAGTTAAAAATAAAAGGAACCAGCTGGGTACAGTGGCTCACTCCTGTAATCCCAGCACTTAGGGAGGTCAAGACAGGTGGATCGCTTGAACTCAGGAGTTCAAGACCAGCCTGGGCAACATGGTGAAACCCTGTCTCTCCAAAAGTAGAAAAAAAAAATTAGTCAGACATAGTGGCATACGCCTGTAGTTCTAGCTATTTGGAAGGCTAAGGTGGGAGGACTGCTTGAGCCCAGGAGATCAAGGCTGTAGTGAGCCAAGAATGTGCCACTGCACTCCAGCCTGGGTGACAGAGCGAGATTCTATCTCAAAAATAAGTAAATAAAAGGAACCATTCAAATAACACAAAAAGACCGGCGCGGTGGCTCACGCCTGTAATCCCAGCACTTTGGGAGGCTGAGGCGGGTGGATCACAAAGTTAAGAGATTGAGACCATCCTGGCCAACAGGGTGAAATCCCGTCTCTACTAAAAATACAAAAATTGCCGGGCGCGGTGGCTCACGCCTGTAATCCCAGCACTTTGGGAGGCCGAGGCGGGTGGATCACGAGGTCAAGAGATCGAGACCATCCTGGTCAACATGGTGAAACCCCGTCTCTACTAAAACTACAAAAAATTGCTGGGCATGGTGGCGCATGCCTGTAATCCCAGCTACTCAGGAGGCTGAGGCAGGAGAATTGCCTGAACCCAGGAGGCGGAGGTTGCGGTGAGCCGAGATCGCGCCATTGCACTGCAGCCTGGGTAACATTAGTGAAACTCCGTCTCAAAAAAAAAAAACAAAAAAACAAAACAAAACAAAAATTAGCTAGGTGTGGTGGCACACACTTATAGTCCCAGCTACTCAGGAGGCTGAGGCCGGAGAATCACTTGAATCCAGGAGGCGGAGATTGCAGTGAGCCAAGATTGCGCCACTGCACTCCAGCCTGGTGACAGAGTGAGACTGTGTCCAAAAAAAAAAAAAAAAAAAAAAAAAAAATGGCCGAATGGCCAGGCACAGTGGCTCACACCTCTAATCCCAGCAGTTTGGAGGCTGAGACAGGTGGATTGCTTGAGGTGAGGAGTTCACGGCCAACATTGTGAAATCCCATCTGTACTAAAAATAAAAAAAATTAGCCGGGCATGGTGGCTCGCACCTGTAGTCCCAGCTCCTTGGGAGGCTGATGCAGGAGAATTGCTTGAAGCCCAAGGGCAGAGGCTACAGTAAGCCAAGACTGCGCCACTGCACTCCAGCCTGGGGGACAGAGTGAGACTATGTCTCTAAAAAGAAAAAAAAAAAAAAAAAAAAGGCAGAAAATGAGGAAAAGAGAACAAAGAACACGTGAGGCTAATAGAAAACACTTATCAAGGTGATATATTTAAATCCTATCATATCAATTATTCCATTAAATGTTAATGGTCTTTCACAAGTGCAGTGGCTCACGCCTGTAATCCCAGCACTTTGGGAGGCTGAGACAGGCAGATCGCTTGAGTTCAGGAGTTCAAGACCAGCCTGGCCAACATGGAGAAACCCTGTCTCTACAAAATATTTAAAAAATCAGCTAGGCTGGGGGCGGTGGTTCACACCTGTAATCCCAGCACTTTAGGAGGCCAAGGTGGGTGGATCACTTGAGGTCAGGAGTTCAAGATCAGCCTGGCCAATATGGTGAAACCTCATCTCTACTCAAAATATAAAAATTAGCCAGGCGTGGTAGTGTGCCTATAGTCCCAGCTACTTGGGAGGCTGAGGCAGGAGAATAGCTTGAACCTGGGAGGCGGCAGTTGCAGTGAGCCAAGATTGCACCACTGCACTCCAGCCTAGACATCACAGACTCTGTCTTAAAAAAAAAAAAAAAAAAAAAGAAAAAAGAAAAAATTAGCTGAGGCCAGGCGCATTGGCTCAGCCTGCAATCCTAGCACTTTGGGAAGCCAAGGCAGGTGGATCACTTGAAGCCAGGAGTTTGAGACCAGCCTGGCCAACATGGTGAAATTGCTTGAACCCAGGAGGTGCAGGTTGCAGTGAGCCGAGATCACATCACTGCACTTTAGCCTGGGCAACAGAGTGAGACCCTATCTTGGGGCGAAAAAAATACATGATGCAGGCCAGGTGTGTTGGCTCACGCCTATAATCCCAGCACTTTAGGAGGCCAAGACAGAAGGACCACCTGAAGTTAGGAGTTTGAGACCAGCCTGACCAACATGGTGAAACCCCGTCTCTACTAAAAATACAAAATTTAGCTGGATGTGGTGGCGCACACCTGGAATCCCAGCTACTTAGGAGGCTGAGGCAGGAGAATTGCTTGAACCTAGGAGGTGGAGGTTGCAGTGAGCCAAGGTTGCACTACTGCACTCCAGTCTGGGGAACAGAGTGAGACTCTGTCTCAAACAAACAAAAAACATGATACGAGGGGCTGGGCATGATGGTTTTGTTTTTTTTTTTTGTAGTGTTTTTTTGAGATGGAGTTTCGCTCTTGTTACCCAGGCTGGAGTGCAATGGCGCGATCTCGGCTCACCGCAACCTCTGCCTCCAGGGTTCAGGCAATTCTCCTGCCCCAGCCTCCTGAGTCGCTGGGATTATAGGCACGCGCCACCATGCCCAGTTAATTTTTTGTATTTTTAGTAGAGACGGGGTTTCACCATGTTGACCAGGATGGTCTCGATCTCTTGACCTCGTGATCCACCCACCTCAGCCTCCCACAGTGCTGGGATTACAGGCTTGAGCCACCGCGCCCGGCCTTAGGGCTGGGCATGATGGCTCACAACTATAATCCCAACACTTTGGGAGGCAGAGGCATGTGGATTGCTTGAGCCCAGGAGTTCAAAACCAGCCTGGGTAACATGGCAAAACCCTGTCTCTACAAAAAAATAGAAAAATTAGCCAAGCGTGGTGGCACACACCTGTGGTCCCAGCTACTTGAGAGGCTGAGGTGGAAGAATTGCATGAGCCCAGGAGGCAGAAGTTGCAGTAAGCTAAAATGACGTCACTACACTCCAGTCTGGGTAGCAACGGGACCCTGCCTCAAAATACATACATACATACATACTTAAAAATACATAAAACTAATAGAACTATAAGGAGAAATAGACAAATCCAAAATTATATTTCAAGATTTCAACATAATTATCTGAATAATTGATAGGATAAGTAGAGACAGAAAGAACAGTGCTTTCAATCACTTTGACCCAATAGGCATTTGTAAAAACTCTGTTCAGCCACAGAAGAATATGCATTATTTTCAAGTGCACAAGAACTTTTAACAAGACAGACTATATTCTAAGGCATTAGATATGTCTCAATACATTTTAAAGTCTCTAAGTCATAAAAGTATGTTTCTGACTATAATAGAATTATTAAAGCAAAATCAGTAACAGATATCTAGAAAATTCCAAAATATTTGGAAATTAAATGACATATGTATAAATAACCCATGGATTAAACACAGAAATCAAAGGGATATTAGAAATAATTTAATTAAATGAGAAAGAAAATTATCAAAATTTGTGGGTTGTAGCTGATGTAGTGTTTAGAGGGGAAAATGCCTGTGTTAGAAAAAAGGCTCAAATCAATGACATCACTTTCCACCTTAAACTAGAATAAGAAGAGCAAATTAAACACAA